GCGGGTGGAGAAATATGTGATCCTCCCGTTCTGAGGGTCTTGCTCGGGGGTGGCGACGTTGTTGTTGTCGCCCGCATCGGTAAACTGAACGTTCTGGTCATTATTGAAAGTTTGGTCGGCCATGACAACCTGAAGGTTGAAGGTGTTGCTTTGGTATTAAGTGAATGAAAGACGGGGAAGCTTTTTCCTCACAGTCGGCGCCACTGATCGTACTTGATCAGAAGAGATCGTCAATGCCCACAAGCTTCAAGTCGGGAAGCGGTTGAATATGAAGTGGGGGAGGGGTACCTCAAGACACTCTGATGCCAAAGTAAGGTTCAGAGCAAGTGCAAGTAGAATGTGAAAGTATAGATGAATGTATGAATACCTGACCCTCTCAAGTGAGAGGGTATTTATATCCCCCAGTGTTGGGCCAAGGTCCCCATATTGAGCTAACATAGCAGGTCCAAAATAAAGACTCAGGATCTACGTGAGTAGTGGAGACCAGCACGTGGTCTCCCTCTTGAGTGGACTGCTTTGAATTACTAGGAGGACGTGCTTGCGGTATTTCCGGAGTCAAGATGACTCTGAGATACTCGGAGATGTAGGCGTCTGCTCTACGAGGAGATGCCCGTCAAGACCTCCTGAGATCCGTTAACACTCCTCGACAGTCCTATGGAGAGGAAGGCCCAAGGGACATGTCCTCGGTGCAAGGGTGGAGTCGTTTCCCGACATATTCAAGGGAAGCCTCATTCTTGTTGGCCTTCGCCTGCAGGATGGTTGGATTGAGTTTTGTATGCTATTTGGACCAAACGCAAACCCAATTCAGAACAGTAAGCAACGTGGAATTTGAAATTTTCCTATCCTTTTATATAGTTAATTATTTTGTTATAAATGACATCTAGGTTAGCATCATTTGTACACACTCTCCATCTTTTATGATGAATTTGAGAGGGCACTCAATCATGTATTCTAGCTAGAACAAAAATTAGAGAATACTTGCAATCACATATCAAAGTCATTCAAAGCAAAATACTATTCTCTTCATTATATCAACTCTCATCAAAATACATAAAATCAGAGGATCATCATCTTGAGTGTGTTAAATCTTATGAACTTGCAACTCTTCACATTACATACTGTAGTCAACAATTCACCCACGTCACATTTCTCTCGCACTGGTTTTACATCTTTAAACATATGCTCAGCGTTAGAAAATTCAAGTACTAACAATCCTTACTCCATTTCTTACTTGAGATGATAGATCATTGTAGTGATAAATTGGATATGATTGGTTTATTATTATGATAGCTCCTCTTTCACCACTATTCAACAGTGGTAGATTTTTGATCCTGTGTGGTAACATAATTTGCAAACCCTCAAAAACGGCCCTTGATATAAAGACATATATTTTTGATATGATATGGTTCATTGATATCACAAATCAAAGTCATTCAAAGGAAAAATACTATTCTCTTCATTATATCAACTCTCATCAAAACACACAAAATCAGAGGATCATCCTCTTGAGTGTGTTGAATCCTATGAACTTGCAACTCTTCATATTACATACCGTACTCAATAATTCACCCACATCACATTTCTCTCGAACTGGTTTTACATCTTTAAACATATGCTCGTCGTTAGAAAACTCAAGTACTAACAATCCTTACTCCATTTCTTACTTGAGATGATAGATCACTGCAGTGACAAATTGGATATGATATGGTTTATTATTATGATATCTCCTGTTTCACCACTATTTAACAGTGGTAGATTTTTGATCCTGTGTGGTAACATACTTTGCAAACCCTCAAAAACGGCCCTTGACATAAAGACATATATTTTTTATATGATATGGTTCATTGATATCACAAATCAAAGTCATTCAAAGGAAAAACACTATTCTCTTCATTATATCAACTCTCATCAAAACACACAAAATCAGAGGATCATCCTCTTGAGTATGTTGAATCCTATGAACTTGCAACTCTTCATATTACATACCGTACTCAACAATTCACCCACATCACATTTCTCTCGCACTGGTTTTACATCTTTAAACATATGCTCGACGTTAGAAAATTCAAGTACTAACAATCCTTACTCCATTTCTTACTTGAGATGATAAATCACTGCAGTGACAAATTAGATATGATATGGTTTATTATTATGATATCTCCTATTTCACCACTATTTAACGGTGGCAGTTTTTTGATCCTATGTGGTAACATACTTTACAAACCCTCAAAAACAGCCCTTGACATAAAGACATATATTTTTTATATGATATGGTTCATTGATATCACAAATCAAAATCATTCAAGGCAAAACACTATTCTCTTCATTATATCAACTCTCATCAAAACACACAAAATCAGAGGATCATCCTCTTGAGTGTGTTGAATCCTATGAACTTGCAACTCTTCATATTACATACCATACTCAACAATTCACCCACATCACATTTCTCTCGCACTAGTTTTACATCTTTAAACATATGCATACCGTACTCAACAATTCACCCACATCACATTTCTCTCGTACTGATTTTACATCTTTAAACATATGCTCGGCGTTCGTACTGGTTTTACATCTTTAAACATATGCTCGGCGTTAGAAAATTCATGTACTAACAATCCTTACTCCATTTCTTATAGATCTCTGCAGTGACAAATTGGATATGATATAGTTTATTATTATGATATCTCCTATTTCACCACTATTTAACAGTGCCAAATTTTTGATCATGTGTGATAACATACTTTGCAAACCCTCAAAAACAGCCCTTGACATAAAGACATATATTTTTGATATGATATGGTTCATTGATATCACAAATCAAAGTCATTCAAAGCAAAAGACTATTCTCTTTATTGTATCAACTCTTATCAAAGCACAACAAATCAAAGGATCATCCTCTTGAATGTGGTGCATCCTATGAACATTTAACTCTTCATATTAATGTCTTAATCAAACAATTCACCCACGTCATATTTTTCTCACATTAGTTTTACATCTTTAAACATCCTCATTGTTAGAAAATTCATGCACCACTAATCCTTACTCCAAGTCTGTCTTGAGATGATAGATCAGTGCAGAAGTAAATATTCAAAGGGTCACATTTCGTCTCTGCACTTTATCGTTGTGCTTTGTTTTACTTGAGTGATGATTTAATTCGTTCCTTCGCTTCACCTTGCTTTTGTATCACGGTTTTTCGGTTATGTGTTGATCGAAGATAGAGACCCTCTATACCACGGTGGTTTGGATTTACACTGCATTGAATATGATAAAACAAAACTTTTTAGGCACAAGCTGTCTGCAATACATCAAGAAACCAGTCATGAAGATATATATTTTTGGCAAAGTTATGGCATGTCAGTTTTTTATAACTTACTGTCTGATACAAGTAAAAATGAAAGGAAAATTCAAACATCAATATGCTGAGAGAAAATGGTGAAGGAACAAGATCATCATCAAAGTGAAAAAAACAAGTAGTTGAATCCTTAATACAAATCATTGAAGGCTATTTTCATTGGTTAATTCAATTGAGTTGTATATCTCAAGAAAATCTTAAATAGAACAAGAACAAGAAATCAAATGAAACATACCAATTATTGTTTTCTTTATTTTTCTTTATTCTTGATTTTGTTGCATAGGACCCAAATTTTCTTTACATTGTTTCTAATGAAAAGGAGCATCTGCCTTACAGGCGAGATTCTTAAAAAGGAAAACTCCTCTAAATCGAGTAAAAAGAAATGTAGTAGCAGTTAATAACTCTGAGCTATATTAATTAAACCTGACTCCACATTCATATTAGTTGGCCAAAATTTATGCTGTTAATCTCAGATGTTTTTGTGAAGCATCGACCTCCTAAAAACCAGTGACCAAAATAAACATAAATACTCAAAAATAGACTACTACACAAAATTAAAGACTGTAAGGAACCCAGCAAACAAAATAACAAATAACAGTGAGAAATGATATAAATGTGGAACTGTATATTATTACTGATCAATAGAGGAATTACAGATTGGGATTACACCCAGATTCTGACACAGCTGTGCTCCTAAAGGAAACTATTGCTCCTTTCTTATTTCTAAACTTGCAAATCCCATAATGAGTCCCAACCCACTACTCAACTCCATAATATCAGGGAATGGTTCAACAGTCCTCACTATCATTCCAAGTCCTAGGCTCCCTATCGTTATTGTGGACTAATTCCTCATTTGGGCCTTCCACATTTGAACTGGTCCTAACAAAAACCTAAAGTATAGAGCAATAAAACTTGAGCAGAAAAGAAGAAAAAAAACAGAATTGAACTAAAAGTAGGAAGAAGAGAAGAATAAATATTTGTGAGAAAGAACATAATTATTAGTCTTCAAAGGGACCGTATTAAAATTTATACCTTTTAAAAAAAGACAAGATTTTAGAAGAAAAAAAATTTGAGTAAATTATCCCCAAAATTCCTGCTATTGTTGACAGTGGCTCGCAGACCAATAGTGTCGCGCCGAACCCTATACCCGCTATGCTATTCTGCTATAGCGATGCTATAGCCTGCTATTGACAACACATGCCAAAAGGCTAAAATAACAAGCAACGACCAAATATGTGGCAAAGCGAAACTCTAAGTAAAAATAGACTATTTCTTAAAGCTCACTTCAAAGTATTTTGAATAACTACAGTTTACAAACACGGTTGTATTGAAGCCTTAAACTGAGGCTTAGTAGCTCTTGACAATTATGCAACTACAACAATCACGACTGTATTTGTCCACCAATATTTGCACTCTCAATATTTGCAGTGATCACAACTAAAACCGCTAATTGAAACCATTTTGAATTCAGCAACCTATTCTAGTATATTCATATATTATTCAAATCAAAAGAAGATCAACATTTGTGCAAGTAACAAACGAAACAAATTTAAGTAACCTAGATCAAACTGACTCTAATCAAGTATTCAAATCGAATATGGAACAACAAGATAGCAAATTAAGACGAAAATACCTGTAGATTTGTTCATATCATGCCATCTTTGTTGTCCTTGTTGTGTGCAAGATTCAGTTTTTCTTCATAAAGCTTTAAGAGATAAGAAGAGTCCTCCTTAAAAGGCATTATATATTTGTCAAGGAACGTCTTATCGACGACTATAAATGGAGCAGTTAAACTTGCTTTCTTTTTTAGCAAATCTTTCTTCAGAAGATATTGCACAACTGAGGCCCTTGGTATGATCCTTCTCTCCATACTGGCTGACAAAACCCTTGGTACTTTGGCAATGGCCATGGCATCCCAACCCAACTGATCGACCCAAAAGCTCATGACTAAATTTATTTTATCAAGGGATGCTAACATACACTGAGGCTGCTTTCGAAATGCTTCAACAACATCTTGATCGGACCAACCCCATTTCTTAAAGGCATCAACTTTCTCTTTCCACCTGGCTTTGACTACTGTTCTTTTGGCATGCAATGCTATTGAGAAAGTTGATTGTGAAGGATTAAACCCCAAATCCTTTAATTCCTGAACCAACTTCAGAAGTTCATTTGTGTTGAGTACCTTGCTATTCACTTGAAGCAATCTTGCAATGCAGGAATCTGGAACTCCATACTCAATCAACATTCTAACGTTAAGTAACACATTACGATAACAAAATAAAAGAGGATTTTGAATTGCATGAGTGACAATGTCTTTGTGAGATTGGAAGAATCTAGTGAGAAATTCATAGGTTGGGACTATATGATTCTCCAGGCTTGGAGAGAGGATCATGGGGAACTTAGTGACAAGGTGAACAATGTCGGAGGTAGAAGCGCCTTTAGAGAGGAAAAATTGAAACTTTGGAAAGACCCTTATGGAGGGGTCACAGGAAAGTAGCCATGGTGTCTTGACGACCATGTTGCGTAGTTGGGAATCTGATACACCATGGTTTCTAAAGAAATTGAGAACTAAATCAGGGTTTTGATTAGTCTTGAAACGAAGATTGTAAGTGGAAGAAAGTTTGGAAGCAGATTGTGGGGAGAAGCCGAGATTGTGGATGAGGTAGGAGACTGGAAATGGGGTTGAATTGGAAGAGGCGGTGCAGAAATGGTGAAAACTAGGGTTAGGGTTTGGTGGAAAAGTTAAGGCTTTGAGATAGAGAATGGGTCTATGGCGATGAGTAGCGAACATTTGAAAGGAATTAGTGTTGAAATGAAAAAGCAGAAACAGAAGAAAATAGAGATAATGGTATCTACCTCGTTGCCCAGAAGAAATTCCTAGAGCACATCGACGAACGGAGGCTTTCTTCAACGTCGTACTGCTCTCGTGTGTTTGGTTGCACGACAAAGGCAAATGATTTACTACCTTTATTATTTTTGGGGAAAATACACTCACCACCTTGGGGCTCTATAAAAATAACACTAACTACTTTTTAAATATGTATTAATCTATCTAAAGTCTATTAAAATAACACACTCTTATAATTTTTAGTGATAGTAAAATTTATCTATGATTTTTAGTTTGTCACTATAATTTTCCGTTGATATATGTATGTTTAGGAGAGATATGTGTATGATTTAAAATTTAAAGGGATGTTAATAGATGTGAGTGTAATTTTCTCTTATTTTTATTAAGGATCTAAAATTGTTAAAATTGTGTGATTAACCGCATTGATAATTTCATTAATTAATATTTTATATTTAATTAATCAATTTTATTTTATTATTTAAAATTATATTTAATATTTGAGTATTTATTAATCAACTTTATCACTTTATTAACTAATTTTTTTATATTTTATTAATTAATTTTATTTTACTACTAAAAATTATTTTTAAATCTGAGTGTTTATTAATCAACTTCATCACTTCATCAATCAATTTTTTAGATTTCATTAATCAACTTTAATTTACTGTTAAAAAGTTATTGTCTATGTATTGTTCACGTGGGTGTTGTTCACAGTCATGATAATGTTTATAATTACTATTCAGGTCATTGTTCACGATAATGTTCATGTCATTGTTTACTGTTCACGTTACTGTTCACCATATTTGTGAACAGTAAATACGATGTAGATGTAAGGGATGTTGTAGGAATAGCATTGCTAAACTTGAATACCTTTAGTAGTAACTAGATGTTTGCCTCAGTGATATACGTGATAATCGTGCATAACTTGATGAGAATTATGACTAATTAACAGTGTTTTAAAAATTGAATCAAACTGATCGGTCGAACCAGGAATCGAAGGGGTCACCGTATGGTCTAATTGTTGGATCAACTATGTTATTGAATCGGTAAGAACTGACTAAAATCAGTCAAAACTGATAAAAATCAATTAATTAGCGGTTTTCAAAAATCGGTGGTTCAAATGCATGTTTTAATTTTTCTAAGACAAAACGACGTCGATTTCATAATTTAAAATAAATATATAATTAAAATATAATTAAACTTTATTCAAAACTTATTCTTACCAAACTTTCTTTTATGCAATTAGATCTGATTCAAAATTTATTTAAATTGGTATTTTCTATTATTTTGGTGTGAGTGGTGATTATATTTAGATCTTGAATTTAAAGAATGAACACCTAAAATTATGATATTTTAAAATTTTAAAATGTTGTATGTGTCGTTATATTTTTTTAGAGACTGAGTCATCTGATTTGACTGATTTAATAAATATATAGTTTTGTTATAGAGATCGATTTATTCAAGCGAGTTATTTAATTCAATTTGGTTTAGTCATGCGGTTAGACCAGTAACTTAATGATTGGACCAATAAACCAGTGACTCAATACCTTCATCGATTTGATAACCGGTCTAATTTTTAAAACATTGTTAATTAACTATATTGTGATTGTGTGACTTCCTTTTTATTTGTTTTATTAAATTTTATAATTATTATAACAAATTTTTAAAATTATAATATTAAAATATAATAAAATAGATGTAATAGAGAGATTATATACTAAATATAGTGACATAAAATGATATTTTTTTTTTTTTAACTTTACTAGTTGAGGCTTAAGTTAGACGTAAGTATTTTTAAATTATATAAGTAATTGGAGAAAGTATGTAAAAATCGCAAATTATTTTCTAAGAAGAAAATATATGAGATTGGTCATTACATTGTTGGGAAAAAAACCATTATATATGGATAAGATCATGGAAATTTCATTTTGTATAAGTCTATAGTTCATAAATCTTAAAAAAAAAAGAAGCAAAAACTTATAATTTTGGTGATAAGAGGAATCTCCTAAATTCCATAATCTATAATTTTTTGGATGGAACAATGCATTTAAAAGAATATATTTATTGAAGGAAGTGGAAATTAAATTAAAGGACATGATCATGAAAAATAATGTTATGATCAGATTTTATGTTTACTGCTTGATTTGTAAATGTATGTTATTTATGTGTTAAAAAAATATTTCAAAGAAAATTGGAATGGGCAAGTGAAGGAGTTTCTGTTACAATGTGTGAAATATTTAGTTTGATAATTAAGAATGAATTCATGACCATGTTTTATGAAGAAATTTTTGTTACAAAGTAAAATGATAAGGATAATGAGTAAGAATTAATTTTTGAACATGCTTAGTGAAAAAGTTTATGTTACCAAATAAAATATCAAATGTGATAATTAAGAATAAATTCATGAGCCACCTAATGAATTAGAGAAACAGGAACTTTGAAACTATGTTTTGAGATGTGCATGCTAAAGAGGCTCAATAGAGAAATGGAAATTTAAAAATGTGTATTGAGATGTGCCACATCAGAAAATACTTGTCAAAATTTGGATTACATTGCATAAAAGTGATGACATGGCAGCAATAGAGTTTGCAACTTTGTTTTAATATATTATTATAAATTATAAATAGATATTATTGTGTAGTAAAAGAAATCTGTATAATATACTAGTAAAATATATGTTCAGTTTGGTTGATGTATTTAATGTCGTGATGTCTTATTGGTTATATCTAATTTATCAACTATAAAATAAAATCATAAATATAGACTAATAATATGCATTAATCTTTATGCATTGATCTAAGTAGTATTTTAAAAAACAATAGAAATATGACTTAACAAATTATGAGAACATACTAATTATAAATTTGAAAAGTCAAGATGTAGGTAGGTGGTGTTTCAAAGATGCATAAATTTATCAAGTGGCAATAATAAAGCATAAGCAAATATTTGTTGTAAAATATCACCAAAGGCGACACATACCAATCATCAAATGTCTCTATTTGAATCATTATGACTTATTAGTCTCACTATAATTTTCATACTGAATCCCCAAAGGCTGCTAGGAAGGAAGTATGCCAATATAAAATAGATTGAAAGCAAAAACATTTATGGTGATTGGATATTTAAAAACTTGTTGAAGTGAATAAATCGTACAGTTGGTTCTCTAACTTCAATTGGCATAAAACAACAACAAAAGAAATATTTAAAAGATGAAGATTAAAATTGTAGCATCAAGAAAAAAGAATAATTATTTACCAACTAACATAGTACTTGGAAGACCTCTTTATACACAACATTAGTAGTAGTCAAACATGATGCATTGTCCTTGTTGTGTATTAATATTTTCGAATCAGTATTGATCTTAATTCTTGAAATTGCTACATACAATGGCTCGTGACTAAAAATAAAAGTAGGCAAATATAATCCTATATTATCAAGTGATTGACCTTGGGATTTATTTATTGTTATTACATATGAGACAATGATCGAAAATTGACCTCTAATCAATTTAAATAACCATGGTGATTCAGAAGGTGACATAGACACTCTTCTTTGATTCTTATATGAAGTCACGAGCAGAAGGAGAGATTAAAGAAGGAATGAATGGAGCTTACCATTCAGGCTTTTACCGTCGCCAAAAGTAACATCAGACTTACTTTAATTGGGTATCTTTTTTACTCCTTTCACGATTTTATTTTCACCATGTTGTAGATCTTACTCTTCTATTTCGTTTCCCTCGTAGAATTGCCCGAATAGCTGCATATTTGGGATTTAATTTGAGTTTATTTTCCCTTAACTCCATAATTTCTCATTAGCATAGTAAGGGTTCGAACTTCCAGTTTAATCTTTTAATTTGGTAGACATGATGTTCTTAGAGAACTCAAAATTTATGGAGTTATAACAATTTAGTAACCATATTTTGCTACAATTTTGTAACCATATTTTGTTACTAATATATAAGCAAGTCTAATTGTGATACGGTGGGAGAACTGACTTGGGTTTTGGGTTTGTGTTTGCAAATGTTTCGGTTTAGCAAGAGTCGCCACCGACTTTTTATTTTATCCTAAGGAAAGGTCAAAAAGCACAGGAAAGACCTTTTGAGATGTTTTCGTGGGTTCGGGGGGTAGATTATGAAAAGGGAAGGTGCTAGCACCCTTTTCATCCATGGTTATCCATGGGCTCTTAGTTACTTGTTTTAGATCATTTGCCTTTACTTTTCATTTGTTTGAAATGGTGCTTTGCGTGTGTGGTTTTGAAAACGTTTTGAAAAAGATGCCTTGTCTAGGCAACCTTTATAATGATTCTTGTTTGAATGTATACAAAGGTGTATGTCTTTTTGAAAGGTTTTCAATATTTTGAAAGTTGTTTTGAAATTGTGTTGTGGAGTGTGTTTTGAAAAATAGCAAGGATGTTTTACAAGATTTTTGATCAAGTAACTAAGAGTTGTCTACCCTATTTTACTCAAAGATCTTTCTTATGTTTTTAACCCTTTTAACAGTGTTGTTTCACCATTGTATTTGGTGAACAACCTTGTGTTAGGATGTTAACGGGACAGGCGCGGGTCATCGTATGACCATGATAGCAATGTTGTGAAATGACTTAGCACTTTTCTGTAGGGACTAAGATCATTTTGAAAGGCAACTTTGATAGCGTCATCGAGGGACTATGATCTTTTTTTTTCAATTCGTTTGTGCTAAGACATCCCACATGCATAACATGGCCATCTTTGTAAGGCAACAAGTGGAATTACCCTAAGGGTGCATGTGTGCAAGTGTGTTTGATTGCATGCATTTGTCTTTGATTTTTGGGTTGTCTACTTGTTGATTTTATCTTGCCATACACATCTAATTACTAGTATTTGTACAAAGCAATAAAAATGCGGGAAATAAATATCCTACACTATTACAACCATATTGAAAGGCAAGAAAATGTAAAGGCAAAAA